GCAGGTCTGCCCCTCAGCTCCACGGATCTGGCTGGGGAGCCACCTGTCCTGCATCAGTGAGGGGACAGTATTGCTCCAGGCCTTCCTACTGCCGTTATTTCAGGCAGACCTCATTGCTCCTGCCCTCCCCTGCTTAACCTCCGCCTCCTCCTAATAGGTCTTTGTAGGTCCCCTGCTTCCAAGTCTTCCAATCTGTTGTCAGAGCTGTAGTTGTTAATCCCAAGTTAGATGATGTCATTCCCGTTTTTACAATTCCTTCGAAGTTCTCCACCTCCTCCAGGACAAAGCCTAAATCCCTGCCCCACAGGTGAGGGCCTCTGTGATTTAGTTCCTGGCTACAGCTCCATCCCTTTGTCTCATCACTCTCCATCCCACAACCTTTGTGGTTACTTTATTGACGTCCTTTGAGCCTGCCCGACCTGACTAAAAAGTTTTACCCTCAACTTTGGCATACATTCTTCCTTGCCAGAATTGTGCTTCCTCACTTCCTCCCCAAAGGTCCCTTCCATAGGGTAAGGCTTTTCCCCAGCCTCAGTTGGCTGCTGCACCCAGGTCACAACTCCGGGACCACTGGATTTTTTACCCACCTTCCTAAATAGTATGCGGGAACATGTCCTGGGCGGTTTTCATTTCCCCTTCCCTATATGCACAGCACAATGTCTGGCATAAAGTAGATGCTGTGGCATCTGATGAAGGGACGAACCAGCATGTGGTACTTTTCTTGCTCACCTGAATGTAACTTTATATTTTAACCAGGTCACTACAACATCATCATATCTCTTCACAACTATGGCTTTCAGCACACTTCTCTATCGCATTGCGGAAGAAATAGGCAGTGATGAGCTGGCCTCCCTCAAATTCCTTAGTCTGGATCACATCCCGCAAAAGAAGCAGGAACCCATCGAGGATGCCCTGATACTATTCCAGACACTTCAGGAAAAGAGAATGTTGGAGGAAGGCAATCTGTCCTTCCTGAAGGAGCTGCTGTTCAGAATTGACAGGCTGGATCTGCTGGTTAAATACCTGGGCACCAGCAAGGAGGAGATGGTGAGAGAACTAACAGAGGGCACAGCTCAAATTTCTGCCTACAGGTGGGTAGAAAATCCACGGTGTGGGGGCTGGAGAGTGGGGGCGGAATAGAAAACCTTCGTGGGCAGGGCTGACTGGAGCTAGTTTGGGGAAAATCCAGGGAGAGGATGGAAAAAGCATCCCCTAAATTGAGATTTGGGGAGTGAAGTGAGTTTATTAGAAGTTACTCAGTAGAGCAACCTGCTCATCCGTGGCACAGGCATCTCTTCTGCAGGAACCTTTTGTTAGTGCCACAGTGCCCACCCTGTGCTGAGGCTTATAAATCTCTTCCCACTCCAATGAGTCATGCAAAGTTTTTTTTTTTTTTTTTGAGACAGAGCCTCAAGCTGTCCCCCTGGGTAGAGTGCCGTGGCATTACAGCTCACAGCAACCTCCAACTCCTGGGCTCCAGCGAGTCTCCTGCCTCCGCCTCCCAAGTAGCTGGGACCACAGGCGCCCGCCACAACGCCCGGCTATTTTTTGGTTGCAGCCGTCATTGTTGTTTGGCGGGTCCGGGCTGGTGATTTGAACCCGCCACCTTAGGTGTACGTGGCTGGTGCCTTAGCCGGTTGAGCTATAGGTGCCGAGCCCATGCAAAGTTTTTACATTGTATCTTTGCTTGTTTGCAGGTGAAATAAATCTGGCTGGCACAGTACTGTCATGATCAGCTGTCATGCAAGCCATGTTAGGGGTTGCAGGGATTTTAGTAGGACAGCCAGCGGCTCTGAAGCAGCCAGGGCTCATCTGTGTCCCTGTCTCAAGGCAAGAAAGTGCTGAGGCACCACGGAAAAGCTGGACACTTTCCCTGGGCCCCATTGTTACCTTGGTACCTGTCTAGTCCACTTTGTAACGATTTTGCTCAGTGCTCTGTGCTCCGGGCCAGCACAGTGTTTCTGTTATGCGGCCGGGAGGGGAGAACTTTCACTTTCCCCTCAGGGCCTGTCTATGGGGGGTCATTTCCGAAGCTCTGAGAAGATGTCCCACCGTGGCCAGATTAAGAAATTGAGAGATATTATGTATAATTCAGGATAAAAAGATACTGAAATCCTAAGACAAAAATTTATTTTTCTAAAGTGAAATTTAAGGTATGATGAAATTAGAATCGAATTTTTCTAAATGTTCTAATTTCTCTCTCTCGCTCTCTCTTTCATCTTGCTGCCTCTGCCTTGCTGGTGCCCACGCCATGTGCTCACTTTGCCTATTCATGAGAAAAGCATCGCTGCTTCGCACCTGCTTGGGGACGCCTGTGGAAATGTTCACTGGGGTAAAAGGCTTTTCTTCCGCACTTAAAAGACTCTCATGACAGTGTTCTCTGATGAGGCGTGTGCTACCAGGCCTGGCCTGCAGACACTGCTCAGCTCCTCTGAGCCAGGCTGTGCTGTGATTGTAAGGCTCTATAGGACGACAGCTGTGCCTTTTGCAATCCTGTCACAGGCCACGAAACCCAGCTTCTCTCACCCCCCAGGAGAATGGGTGACCACAGGTGTGATAGATAACAAGACACATTCAGTTACAACTTCATGATTCTAAGACAAGACATTAAAAAGAAAAACACTTTCACTCTTTCAACATCTTGTTATTGGACACTCCTTAAAGTATTTTTTCTTTCAGAAAACTTCTACTTAAGCCTTAGTTCTGCCCATTAAATTGCCAACTGTGGTAGGTGAGAGAGAAAGGCTTATGGCCAGTGCTGACGGGCACTGTCCTCTGATAGCCCAACCTATTAATGTTCCTTTTATTTTCAGAGGCCTGCGGGTCTGGCATGTTCCTTGTCATATGTCTCCCTACTTGAGGCTTCACCATTTTTATTTTAAATGACAGGAGATATGTTGGTTGTATTAGTTTCCAGGGCTGCTATAATGAAGTGCTATAATACAAACTGGATGGCTTTAAAAAGTAGAGAAATTGGCCAGGTACAGTGGCTCATGCCTGTAATCCCAGCACTCTGGGAGGTCAAGGCAGGTGGATTGCCCTGAGCTCAGAGGTTTGAGACCAGCCTGAGCAAAAGTGAGACCTTGTCTTTAAAAATAGCTGGGTGTTGTGGTGGGCACCTGTAGTCCCAGCTACTTGGGAGGCTGAGGCAAGAGGATAGCTGGAGCTCAGGAGTTTGAAGTTGCTGTGAGCTATGACGTCATGGCACTCTACCCAGGGCACAGAGTGAGACTCTGTCTCAAGAAAAAAAAAAATTTCAGATTTTAGAGCATTTCAGATCTTGAATTTTCAGAATAGGGATGCTTAGCCTATATTTAAATGAAAACTGATCAAAAAGAAAAAAATAAGTAAAAAGGAAGAATCCATTCCATGCCTTTCTTCTAGTTTCCAATGGTTACAATAGTCCTTATTGTTCCTTGTCTTGTAGACACAACACTCCACTCCATGTCCAGTTCTCTTCTCTGTGTCTGTTTGTCCTCCCTGATCCAATTACAGCCTCATCTTACCAAGATTTTTATCTGCAAAGATCCTATGTCCACAGAAGGTCACAATCTCATGTTCTTGGGAGACATGGCATTTTGGCGAGAGGGGAAGACACTATTCAACCCAGTACACTGGATAGCTTTGGTTTACTAGAGTTGTGAGTCTTTACAAGAGAGTTATTCATTAACGTTCCAGTAAATCCTAAGAAACCACAGCCACCGAAGTAGAAAAGCTTGGGATTTCACCTTGTGTCCACTGTCTTGGCCCTCAGAAGGTTCTAATTCTGCCAGGTGAGCTAGGCTGAGGCAAATTGCCAGTGCCAGACAGTCTGTACCTTTCAGGCAGAGGCTGAGAGTCGCCTGACAAGGGATGGGTCTATCTGTTAAAATGTTTAGCACATTGGTTTGGGAACAAAAGGGTTGGCATAATCATGACCTATTACTTGTTAGTCATCATTGACTATTAGCCAAAAGGTGAAAAATACCCTAGTGCAGCCACTTAAAATGATAAGAAGGCACCAGCCATTTCATTTTCAAATTATAATTGCTACCTATAAAATAAGTATCTTATACACTATCCAGGTTTATTACTAGATAATGAGGCCACCAGAAAGCCTGTAAGTTTCAATAATGAAAAACTAAAAAGACAAAGAGCCCTGTAATAAAGTTAAAACTGTTAGAGTAGCTTTTGACTGGATCTGATCTTGGCCAGACTGAAAGTTTTAGAGAAATACTTCTAGGGTAGGGATTCCCTAAAAAGAAGGATGAGACAGATAATAATACTGATAATTTCTATTTATATACTATTTTTATTTTCAGAATCGAAATTTTCTAATTTTGTCTTGAAGTTGACATGTTTTGTGTTACCTTCACTTTTCCTTATACCATAGTATTGAAAGGTTTGCTGCTGATTTATGAAATATTCCTTTGTTCGCCTAACCTATTTAATAAGTATTTTTTTTTTTTTTTTTTTTTTTGAGACAGAGCCTCAAGCTGTCCCCCTGGGTAGAGTGCCATGGCTTCACAGCTCACAGCAACCTCCAACTCCTGGGCTCAAGCGAGTCTCCTGCCTCCGCCTCCCAAGTAGCTGGGACCACAGGCGCCCGCCACAACGCCCGGCTATTTTTTGGTTGCAGCCGTCATTGTTGTTTGGCGGGTCCGGGCTGGGGATTTGAACCCGCCACCTTAGGTGTACGTGGCTGGCGCCCTAGCCGGTTGAGCTATAGGCGCCGAGCCTAATAAGTATATTTGAAGAGTTGAATTAACTTTGCCAGGTGTGGATTAGAAAATAATAGTGTCTATGTCTTACTGAACACTGGTTTAAGTACTTCATATGGACGTATTCCTTCAGCACTTCACACTGTCCTAGGATGGAGATAGATATTTCTCTTCTGTCTGAAAAATGGGTGGCATGTCTAAAGTCACCTAGCTCAAAGACTATGGAACCAAGGTTCTGATACCAACAGGCTGGGCACCCCATACTTAAACACTGTACCTCACAGCCCTCTGGGTTTATGAAAATAATTTTTTATTTTTGAGATAGTGTGTCACTTTGTCACCCTTGGTAGGGTGTTGTGGCATCACAGCCCACAGCAACCTCAAACTCTTGGGCACAAGCGATTCTCTTGCCTCAGCCTCGTGAGTAGCTGGGACTATAGATGCCAAGCCACAGTGGCCTCTATTTTTAGAGATGGGGTCTCACTCTGGCTCAGGCTGGTCTGGAACTCCTGATCTCAGGTAATCCATCTGCCTCAGCCTCCCAGAGTGCTGGGATTACAGGCATGAGCCACCTTGCCTGGTTTGGGTTTATGAAAATAAAAAGGGGCTCATGCCTGTAATCCAACCCACTTTGAGTGGCACAGGTAGGAATTTGAGACCATCCTGGGCAATATAGCAAGACCCCATCTCTTAAAAAAAACAAATTAGCCAGGCATCAGGTCCTGCACTTGTAGTCTCAGCTACTAGGGAAACTGAGACAAGAGGATCACTTGAGCCCAGGAGTTTGAGGCTGAGGTAAGCTATGATCCCACCACTTCACTCCATTTGACACCAACAGAGAGAGACACCTGTCCCCCCACCAAAAAAAATTAAAAATTAAAGGGCAGAGACCCAAGCTATCATGGAACTTGGGCACTTTCATAAACAGAATTATATCATGCATGGTATCTTTCCAGTGATACTCAAGCACAGTGGAGTGAATGTGGCCCTGGGGACACTGAGGCAGGGCCTGGGCTGTGGGTAGGTGAGAGGGTGTCTGTAGATAGGGTGTGGGGACTCAGCATAAAGGAGTGAGAGGGCAGAGCTGCTGGGTATGTCTGGGCTTCTGGCCCTTTAATGGTGCTGGTTGCGAGGGCTGTGGTGAGCCTGTGTTTGTGGTCTTTCTATTCCTGGACCTAATGTCTGGCCTTCCTGAAGGTAACGACTGACTGGTTTCCTTAGGGATGTGATGATCCAATTTGCATTTTGAAAAGCATAATTTCCAAAAGGCAAAGCTTTTTTTTTTTTTTAAATTGCAACAAGGTCTTGATTTAATAATGAAAGACAAAGGAAAAACAAGATTCATTTAACTGAAATAAACTGAAAGAAACAGTTGATAACACTTTTAAATTGTTAGGGTGGGCATGACAAGTTGATAGTAGTTTGGCATGAGTCAGCAGACTTCTGTGTCACTATCCAGCCTCTTTCCGAGGGCTCAGCTCACAAATCACATCATTAATTGGCTTTATTTTGAAGGGGGGGCATTGGAGTCAAATCCACTGCGACTCCATTTATCAAATGGGAAGTTATTTAAGAAAGCATTTCTGAAGTGTCTTTATTTCCCATCACAGGGTCATGCTTTTTAAGATAGCAGAAGATCTAGACAAACTGGAATTGAGATCTTTTAAATTTTTTTTGAAAAAGGAGATCCCCAAATGTAAACTGGAAGATGACATGGTAAGACCTGGCGTCTTGTCAAGATTTAGTCCTAACAGTTCATCAGCAAGTGGGGATAGCTGAGGCCAAAGAGATGGCTTATTCTGGTAAAAGCAACCTGGATTCTCACTTTTTAACCAGAAAGAAGAAGAAAGTTGCCAGGCAGCATGTTGTAGGTGCTATTCCTTTATACTGTGAAGTGCAGCTCACGTTAATTACTGGGAGTGAGGCAGGGCCAGGAGCCAGGAGGAGGAGGCCGGTTGCACAGGCACAGGCCAGGCGGGACCCAGAAGAGCCTAGAAGGGTCGGGGTGGGTGTAACACGTTTGCCCCACTTTTGTAGCCCTGAAGCAACCTAGAACCTGGTACTGTGTGTGATATGTGTCTGTGTGTCTTTGAGTGTTGTTATGTGTCCTGTATGGGTATCTCCATTTCTGTGTCTCTCCCTATGTGTGGTATATCTCTGTGTGTGTCGGGGGGTAGTCTAACACCATGCATCTGTATTTATGCCTCTGCATTTGTGTGTGTGTTCCTGAGTGTTGGGTTTCTGTCTGTGTGTTATATGTGTCTATGTGTCTCTCCATGCCTGTGTGTTTTATGTGTGCCTGTATGCATATCTTCATATTTGTAAGCGTTTGTGTGCGTTCTGTGTCTCTCTATGAGTGCGATGTGTATATGTCTTTTTGTCTGTGTGTATGTTTGTGTGACTGTATGTTGTGTGTGTCTCTGTGTTGTGTGCGGTGTGTGTATATGTGTCTGTGTATCCTGTGTGTCTGTGTGTATCTGTGAATGCAGGTCTGGAGGGGAGCAGGTGCCAGATGCAGTGTTGGGGTGTGAAGAGGTCCCCAGGCTGTCACCATGGTGACTGGGTGGTATGTCTCAGTCATGCATCCTCACTGCTGGCCTCCATAGGCAGTTTGACCACAGGGCTTGGGGACAGACACTGGCTTCTCCTCTATCCTCTCACCTCTGTCTTCCTGGGCCAGGAAAAAGAACCACCTGTCAGTAGTCCGCCTGCTACGTGAATTCTCAGGCTTGGGAAGTGAGGGCCGGCCCTTAGTTTGGAGAAAGTAGAAGAAAAAAAAAAAAAGGGATCTAATCTGAAAATGAATGTGGCTCAATCCACTCTTCCAACTTTCTCTTCCTCCTAGACCTTGCTTGATATTTTCATAGAAATGGAGAAGAGGGTCATCCTGGGGGAAGGAAACTTGGATCTTCTGAAAAGAATCTGTAGCCAAATCAACAGGAGCCTGCTGAAGAAAATCACTGATTATGAGGAATTAAGCAGAGGTATGAGCAACCTGCCAGCGGCGAGTCCGCCACATGTATTCTGATTTTGACAAATCCTCCCGTGTCACAACTGCTTCTAATCAGATATCTTGTGTGTGGGGGGGTGTTCTCTTTCAATTCAGGGAGAAGATTGAGCTTTGAAAGAAGTACAGAAGAATTTTCAAATGGTACTATTTGGAGAAATGTTTTGAAGACCCATTTCATTAATTTACTGCTGCTGTCCTCATGGTTCCTCCCCACAACCTTCCAGCTGCATCCAGATCTTGCTGGACCTGCTCTCCTAATATCAGCAGGACCGTTTGCAGTGGGGACTCATGGTTACCTTCTCTACACTTTGAAAGGGGTAGAAAGGGTTGTCAAAAGGCATGGACTCTGCAGCCCCAGGCTGCAAAGTTTGAAATAGGTGCACAACTAGTAAGAAATACTCAATTTTTTTCTGTGTGGGATTTTTGTCCCTTCTCCCATGCTGCCTGTATTGTGCACTGGGGAGCTGGATTCAAATTATTTTTCAAAACGTCCTTGGAAGTTATTTCCTCTTTCAATGGTTTCAACACTCAGACACTCCTTTCAATTTCCTCTTTCTCTTTCTCTACCTGAGTGAGCTCGGCTGAACCAGGAGAAGGAACTCCCAAGGATCTCCTTCAACATTTTGATTAATCAAATATTCTTTCTTATTATAAAAAGTGCATGTACTCACTGAGGATAATTTTAAATTCCATTTCCATTGTTTTTTTTTTCACCCTGGCTCTTTGTGGATCACCTTCCTTGAAAGATTAAATCTGAGTAATGTCCATGAAGCCAGTCTTTCCCTGTTCCCTGGCCTGCTTGAGCCCAAGACTTTAAGGAGTAAAGTATTTTTTTTTTTAATTTCAGATTAATGTAAGGGCGCAAATGTTTCTGTTCCATTGTTTTCATTT